TAATTTTGACAACCACCCATATTATGGCCCCCTAGATTACTTTGAGCGCAAGCTGCAGGAGAGCAAGCTGGAGGTGTGACCTGGCAGCCAGAGCCAGGTGATGCTTGCGAAACACTGATAGCCCCAGCCACAGCCTACTTTAGGGGCCTCAGTAACTAGAATAGGGTTTTGGGTTATGTTTTACTGTAATTATGATAAGGTGCCAAAAGGAATAATATAGGTAATCATTCAGGCTTCTATGAGTCATACTTTCGGAAAAGACAAATCGGTTATCCCACATCCAAAAGATGATCATGGTGGTGGATTGTTTCGATTTCTTGTTCTTCTCGTACTTGCTGCGATGGTTACATGGGTCATCGTCATTCCGGCAATCGTCGTAGTGGTCTTGGTGTTCTGGAGTGAGCTGAACTGTTCATGTGTTTGTGGGGCTGGGGCTAGGGCTCAGGCTTGTAGTTTGGGGTTCTCACTGCTTGCAGATCTTTGTACCCAAAGGGGTGTTTAGGGTTTTGGGTTATGTTATACTATAACTCTAATAATCAGGTACCACAAGGAATAATATAGGTAGTGACTGTTGACTCTAAGATTCAGCTGGCCAAACTCTAGGTGCAAAGCCTCGAACTCTCGAAACACCAACCCAGACCCCCCCAAAGGGATCTAAAAAACGGATCCCCTAAGGGGGTTCCTATAAAGTACCCTCTAGTAGTTAGGGTCCCTAATTAGGGGATCTATTTTTTAGCTCCTTTTGGGGGTCTGGGAACAAAACCCCAAATGTTAAGCCATCGACCCCGGAGCCTTCTACTGCTACGGCGCAAGTGTCCCGTTAGTCATGGTATGGTGTGGGAAGTCTGAGAATTAGGGTTCATAGGTTTAGAGTACAAGATGTCCGGAAGCAACAATGCGACAAGGAATCTGGCTGGTGTATCATAAACAGGTATATTCGGGAACTGGAAGGGATAGTCTAAACTTAATCCTAGAGCCTAAACCCTAAGCATAGAAGCTGGGCTCAGGGCCCCAGAGGTTCAGCCCGAAACCCACGGCTCAGATTCTTCACGGAGCGGAATCTGTCGCTGGAGCTCTTCGAGAGAGCGACTAGGCAAGAAAGGCTACCCCAGAACCTCCGACAGCGGCTTGGGGTTTAGGGGTTAGGGCCTGTTCGGGTTTAGGATTCACGGGCTTGCGGACTCCCAAAGACCAACGGCTACTGCGAGCGAGCATCGGTTAATCATCTCGAGGCCGCCTTCTGAATTCTGGATGTTTGTTTCGGAGTTTCGTCTCAGGGCTCTCCAAAACAAACGCCAGGGCCGCAAGCGACTGTGGGTAACAGGGGCTTATATCCTTCAGAGCTTGCGCATCCAGTGTAACCGTGGAGGACTGCAACGGCTGCAGGTGGCCAGCGCACAGGGAGACAGGAATAGTAGTACGTAGTAGTCGTCCTTGTCCTCGTCCTCGGCGCCGTCGGAGTAGTTGTCGCTGTCGTGGTCGTGGTGGTGCTGGTGGCGGTGGTCGTCGTGGTGGTGGTGGTCGTCGTCATGTGGCAGTGGTAGTAGTGGTAGTAGTGGTAGTAGTAGTAGCAGCAGCAGCAGCAGCAGGAGTAGCAGTAGTAGTCGTCGTCGTCGTCGTGGTTCGAGCAAACCACTAAGCGGCTTGCGCTTTTGTCGCGCATATCGTCGTTGAATGTTGCGGCCCTCTTTTGCCGATGGCATCCCCACACATGCAAGGACATCCAAAGCCGACGGTGCACGCACATCCGCAAGAGTCGATAGTTAGTCTGATATAATCTGCTAGTGTTAGGCTTCACTGTAGCCGTGAGTCCAGGGATGTTCAAGATCCCCGAAAGACGAGTAACTAGATGCGGGCTCTCAATGCTTGAGGGCTGCCAAGCACCTTGCAACATCCTGCCAGAAGCTGCTTCGCCGCGCGGAGCTCCGGAATAGAAAGATGGGACTCTGTGCAGCTTGGATCTTTGGCAGAAGACTTTCGGGAATGAATGAATTTGCCACATGCTGAAGACATCTGAAGGCAGAATGCTGTCCTTGATAGTCTTGGCCATGAAGCGGGCGTGTGATGCGAGCTCGTAAGATTGGTTCGGGCTTACTTGCAGTTCGAGTTGTTAAAACTGTAGTGTGTTGGCCTCAGCTTATACGTTGTTGAAGCTTCCGCAACTTGAGTTGTAAGTTGCCCCATGACCACAATGCAAGTGTGAGATGCTCCGCAACTTCAAACTTGTTCTTATCGTCCGTCGGCGCACCGTTTGTGGTTTGAAGTTGTGGGGCGATGGTGACTTGGACTGTCGGTTTGAAACGGTGTTGTGAGTTGTGCCTCGGGAGGTGTACCTTGTTGAGTCTCCTTGTGGACGGATGCAGGTTCAAGACGAAAGCAGCATGTTATGACAACAGCTGCGCTCTAGAGCGCTTAAAAAGCTCAAATAACCAGACCGTCGTTGTAGTTTCATGCGGCATCTATGTTGCAATGGCATACCCACACTTGCGACTTTTGGCCTGTTGTGAGACATGTATCCTCTCCGTGCCATGCTTGATGGGAAAGCATGCAAGCCGTTTTAATTTGCAATGGACAAACGAAGAAACGATGCTTGCCACAAGCTAACGGCAGCTTTGAGCAGTGAGGGTGATGCGTTATCGCGTGCATTCAAAAAGCATTTCCAGAAGTTTGGATCGATTGCTAATCTCCCCACAGGCTGGTCGTTTGGCAAGTTAGTTGGTGCAGAGCGGCTGTTTTTCCAAGCGGCGTGCTCAAGATGGTATGAGGCGCATGTGACAGAGGGGAATTTCGATTCTAGCATGGACGGCGACACATCTCGATTGTTCTCATCCTTGAGCCTGCATGAACAACTTTCAATCATCGCTGGACTTCTACGAGGTCTATTGCTTGAGGCTGAGCCTCTGCCGCCAGAACGGCCTGAGTACTATGCCGGCTTTGTGGCAATGTACCAGATGGTCCTTTACACAGAGATTGCATGCGAGGAAGACATGCAGAGATGCGAGATCTACAGGGAGCAGAAGACAGAGCTTTTGAAGGAGCATACTGGGCGAGGGCACGCTGATTTCCATGCATGGTGTGCGGTCTCTGCGGACGCTGACCGGCAAGAACGTATCCAGCGTCAGTCAAGGCTTGACCAGCTATCTCTTGATGAAATAGAACAAAGCTACTTGACGTCCGTGAGGGCTGAGTGTGACAGCAGTGATCAAGTGCAGCAGCGCGCCCTCACCGTCCTGCCGGAGCTCATGGTGCCAAAGACGAAGGACCTCATCAAACAGATGGCAGCCTTTGACCAACGTGTCACTAGAGCAAAGAACGCAACTCCGGGCCAAGGATCTAGTCATCCGCACCGCAAAAAGAAACACAAGGACCCCGGAGCTAACGATTACGCCTGCTATTGGCGAAGCCTCTTCCTCAATATGCAGAGCGAGCGCATGGGTGGGAGCTGTATGCCAGGCGTTAAGATCAAAGCTGATTGTAATGACATGGAGGCTTGGGAGGCGGAAGCTTACTTTTTTATGACGGCGGGCTGCATTCGTCTCCGCACTGAGGATCACGCGCTTGTCTATGGAGCATGCAATGGAAACGAGGATCAGCAGAAAGAGTATGAAGATCTCATCCATTCTCGGTCTCGGAGGCGTTTTGAGATTTTCAGCAAACTCTGGGACCCAGCAAAAGTTGCATTTGATGAGCTGACTGTTCAAGTGCTCAGCAGTCATGTGCATGGCCCTCCAGCCCTTCAGCCGTGGTGGCCTGCAGAGAACCATCGCCGCGGATGGATTTTGGAACAACTTCGCTTGGAAGCATTAGAGCGTGAGTTGAATGGTGAAGACACTTCCGAGTTTGCGAGTGGGCGGAACCAACTACCGCATATATTGTTCCGTTACAAGCCTTTCATGAAAGAAGCGCAGCAGGATGAACTGAAGCACCAGCCATTGTCCATACGGATCGCAATCGAACAGGTGAGTGACTCATGGATTTGGAAATGGCATGAGCTCATGGACGTCAGCGATTTGGACTATGACAGCCCGGCTGACAGATATCATGCTTTGCTCTTGACTCGCGATGTGCTAAATTCACAGAATGTACCACTTGAACATGTGGGGACACTTGGCCTATGGAGCCCCAGTGACTGGATGAAATCGGTCAGTGATGACCTGGCAATTACGTGCAGTTTTTGCCATTCGAAAATTTTACCAGCACTTGAAGCGCAGGCAATCACATGTTCAGGGTGCGGAGTCGCTAAGTATTGCTCCTCAAACTGCCAAGATGCTGATTGGATGAAGGAGTACATGCCACACAAGGAAGCTTGCGCAGCCATGCGTTCAGCACGTTCCGATCCGGTTGCATTTCAGTCACAGATGGAGGCGGATCGTCAAGCAGCGCGCAAGCATGCAGAGATTGAGGTTCAAAAAAGGAGGGACGAACAGCTTGAGGCCGCTCGAAAAGAAGCAGCTTCCAAAGCGGCAGCAGTACTGGCACCCGCCCAGGAGGAACGGGACCAGAACTTTGCAAGCGAGACCTTGGCTCATTTGCAGCGCGTGATGAAAGCGCGCACCGAGGCTACCACAATGCGCGCAATTCCTGAAAGGAACGAAGATCTCAAATCGGCCCTGACACTTGCTCAGCGAGTTCCGATCAAAGGGAGTTGGCCTGACGAGTTGCGCAGTGGATTTGCCAGGAGCGTGGCAGAGGCACGAAAGCTGCTGGAAAGTAGCGACCCACTTCAACAACAGCATTCCGATGATGACGTGAAACTTGGTGGCCCCATCAGTCGCGAAGAAGGACCAGCTCCAGCAGAGCTTGCTCGTAAAGCCCCTGGTCAAGCAACTCTCTCAAAGAGACCGAAGCAAGCAGATGAGCTCGATGCAATGCCTTCAAAGCGGGAGAAGCAAAAGCGCAGGCGGGCAGAGTTAAAACGCCAAAAAGAGGTGGAACTTGCACACCATGCAGAAGTGGAGGGTGCCTTGGAACGGCAAAGGCTCTACAATCGGCATCCAAAAGTTTGGGAAACAGTCCAGGGCAATGCTTTCATTGAGGGGATTCAGGAGGAGACTGTACTTGATGATGGAGAAGTCGTCATCACGTGGCCATCGAAAACAAGCAGTCTGTGGCCGAAGGACTCTGCGAGAAGATTGCGGGCAGAGGGACAGGTCGCCACACTCAATGAAGCAAAGACGAGGGAGGAGTTCATCGCCGAGTCAAGCGCGTGGTCTCAAGTTCTCCCTTGCCGAATTTCAGGCTCGATTTGCAGGAGCTGACTCCAAAGAACGGCTGGCAACAGCAAGTCCAGAGGATTGTGGTGCTGACTTGTCAGCTGCAGTGCCCAACTGGGAACCGCCGCAGCCGTGACATTCTCTTCACGCATTCCTCAATTTCTCGATGCTTCCGAAATGGTGCTGCTGTTGATGATACCATCGAGGCAATCCTCAAGGGGGAAATCGAGTTGACAGCTTTTCCTGCGATGGAGCTCGTTGAACTGGATGGGCATTACTTCAGCTTGTCGAACCGCCGGCTTTTCCTTCACAGAGTTTTGGCAAACTTGGGAAGATGTCAGCAAGCCCGGGTGGTGCTTTTATCCTGGAATAGCAACCGTGTGCAGCACCTTCGATGGGATGAATCTCGAGGCCGGCTGGCAACCAAGTGGGAAAGGTCATTGTCCACGAGAAATGGAGGAAGGTTGGTTCGGATACAAAGCAAATTCTCTTCCCTTCAGGAAGCAAGAAGAACTACAAGGGATGGCTTGCTCCAAGTCAGGTCTGCTGTAGACCGCGCGCAATCAGCACATCGGTGATCGAGCGCGCATGCGGTTTGCAATCGGCATCTTGCTGAGCTAGAAGCAGTAGGCATTATTGCAATTTAGTGGATCTGATGATCTGCAAGTTGTAAAAAGCCGCCAGAGTTGACGCAGCAGGTTGTTTTGGGGCCTGCTGGAGCAACCAATTCAATTTGAACACCGTATCCTGATTCGCGAACAGAAGGAAGGAGACACCTTCAAACATCTGCGCCCGAGTAGGGAGGGATATGTCAGGACTAATCATACCAGTTTCTGAGAATTAGACAGAGCTAGAAACGCTTACAAGTTTTCCCTATGCGTGCTGAACCGTAATTTTGCGCATGTTTGGCTACAAGCAGTTTGATAAAAAAGGCCCAGTTCTAAGTCTTTTCAATTGGGCAGATGCTGCTGGCGAGTAGCCCAGAAGAGTAGAATGGGCCGGTTGGGGCACGGGCAAGTTCTGCCAGTGGCCTTTGCAAACTCTCTGACAAGCCCACCCCCTGTCCGCTCACCCCCGGCCTCTTCTATGCGCTACATCTCATTGTTTTTATCGGTATTTGAAATGTATTTCCAGGGCTGAGGTATGATTTCGACGAGGGTAAGGCGTCCCGACGACACCGATAGAACATCATACCCTCCCTCATCCCGGCTTTGAAAATACCTAAGATTTGAGAAATATTGATGAGGTATTTGAGCCATTCAAATTTTGATAATGCTCAAGATGGAAAATACTTGCTATATTAAAGGGGTTACGCCCATGGAATAGATAAAAGGGATATCCGCATTTAATAGGAGATACACGCAGCCACCCCCCCAGGAATCCACC